TGTAGACAACATACCTTGAGCCAATGGGAGAAGCAGGAAATGAAATGCTTAGTCTATCGTGTCGTCAGTCTTGAACAGCACATTTCTGTACCGCTTAATCTGAAAATGGAAATGATATATGTTATGTGGAAATAAAATCATTACTGTCATCAACAGTGGGTGTATTTTCAAACAAGTTAAAAACTTCAAGCTATAACAAAAATTCAAGCTATAAGAATAGCTCACCAATCTGCAATATTCTTGTAACGAAGTATTTTCTAAAGACGTAGAGTATGCCACTGAATCAAATGTTGAAGTTGTTTCATCTGAAAAACAATGATTAAAAAGTGTTGTCACCGTTAGGACAAAAGCTTTAGGACAATGAAAATTGCTAACGATTAATCAATTTGTCGTTACGAAAATCAAACTAGACACCTCTAATCAGAGATAAACAATTATTGAGAATATTGTTAAGAATATATATAAACTTTATCAAATAAAGAAAACCAAAAATGCATTTTTCGTGCAGTTATCAACTACAACGTAAGAGTGCATTAATAAAAAATCCTTTTATGTTAGACCATAGCTTAAAAGCAGAAATTTAGGTGCATCTTTAGTCTAAAAAGCTCTCAAAATAAGTTAAATTTGTTTAGGGATAACTCATATTCATTCTTAAAACAAGTGGTGCTCTCTCCTCGATTAGCCAAACTACTCAGAGAGTCCCTCCTCAAGGAATTCCCCTTCATACAATTTGATATGTAGGCTATTATTTCTCTGTTGTTTTTAGATTTGTGTTTAATTTGTATTGTGTGTAGTATTGTATTAATGTAACTGATAAATTGTATGTAGTTGAATTTTTAAAATAGGAGACGGAAACTAAAAAATAAGAGTTGTCCTGAAAAGCAAGTTCGAAACTTTTTTTAATATCTTCCTAATCATGCATTAACATTTCCAATGATACGGATCTAACTAGCCGGAGGTTATAGCATATTTCTTTTAACTGTCCTTTCTGAATGTTGATGACACCGTATCAAAAAAGGTAATGAATTTGAAAATGTAAGGAAACGTAGGTTAAATTTTTTGTGGCATTCCAATTGCATACTCATTTGATGAATTACGTAGTCACTCTAACACTGGGATTTTTCTTCTTACGAAAATCAGTACCATATCAATTTGTGGTTGACGTCAGTAAAAACTGGCAATGGACAAGAACAAATCTGGGGGATTTCTTCACTTTCAATAAGAATTAGGAAGGACTTCTGGAACTAATTCGATGATTTCAGCCAATGAATTGTTTGATTTGATTTGACGGATTGAGGCTCCCTACAAGGACCGAAACTCGTGAACGTTATCTAAAGCGAGTTGAGACTCTTGGAGGGGAAAAGAGGTTAACATGTTGCAACAGTACCTTTGAGACGAATAGTCAGGTAAGGTTTCGATCTATTTTGCCATGCCGCTGTCCAAGGCGTGATACCTGCAGGAAACCCTGTAGGCGTCCAGGCAACAGATCCTAGCTCAAATCGACTGACGCTTGACTGGAAAATCGCTGTAAACAGTGTAAAACGGAGAGAGGCTAAGAAACTGACAAAACACATCGCAAATTTCAAGGGAAACGCTAATGTTTATACAACTGCAAACGTTCAAGGCCTGAAATTATGGCATAACTAATTTGGCATAACCGTTGATATGGTCATAATCTACCAGGAATAAAATTGTCACGATCGTGAAGCTATCTGAGCTTTGATAAGCATCACAACACCAAATGCTGTATTTTTATAAAACACCACTGTGGATTTGACAAAAAAGTCGAACTATCACATGTGAGCCTATTTGCAAAGAAAATAAATTCGGAAGTGACGTACCAGCATTACTCGTGCTCAGACCTCTAGACGCTCTCCAGGGAACCTTATCCAAGAAAATTTTCTTCACGGCCTCTGTAACTGAGTTCCATTCACTTTCGTTTTGTAGCCGCAATTCACCAATGAAGTCTAGAATACTATCAGACATCACCAAACCATCTGCTGAAATACAAAATACAGAAAAAAGTATTACCAACTTGACAGATAAAATATGCAGCAAAGTTACAGAAGTTCAACCACCTCTAGCTAGTAAAAGCAAACAAAGAAATCAATTCAACGGTCCAACCTGAAAAAACATCAAGCACAACAAAGACAAATCTGACATTGTCCAAAAAATCAAGCAAGATTTTTAATAAAATTCCTTGAAGATTTTCCTCGACAGTTTTACACAGGCACTATATGACAAACTAAAGCAAATAAAGAATAATGTTTTATTTTGCATTCAGGCTTGTGGACGTTAATTTCCAAAAAAATTAAAAATCCTAAAGGATCCTTTGCATAACAAGTGTTATTCAAAGCCAGTCACCTATTGCTCAGGATATGCAGCTATCTAGCAAAAGAATTTATTGCTGCACCTATAACAGACTCTCACAAATGTTTAAAGTACTTTCAAAGGTCACTAGCATACCATCAGAAAAGCCCCAGCCATAACCTGCGGCAACTGCAATGAGTAGGGTGCAGGAATCTAGAATTAAAAGCATCAAGTCAAAGTTTATAGAAAAGTGGAAACAATACTTCAGTTCAGATTCTTGCAAATAATTAAAAAAGTTTTGTTTACCGATGTATGCGATGAAAGGCAATATACAGGTTTGATGTCGCAGAAATTTACACTAGTGGCCAGGTACCGCGTAAAAGGCGTTCTTGAAAAGTCTCTGAAAACATTAGATGTCTCTGTTATTTTGACATTTTCGACATTTTATGAGGTCATTAGTAATTGTTTTTGTTTGAGTGTCGTAATGAACCGACCGGCAAGGAGAAAGATAAGTAAATTCTGATTCAGTGCCTATCGCGCGCGGTTGTTGTTAAGGCTATGTACATACAACCATAGAATTTTATCACCAAAATTTAAAAAAACATTTTACTCGCATCATTTGTTAAAAATTAATTATATATATATGAAATAATGAATTAGAAAATCTTTTTTGTCCACAGTGTGCATCATTCAAACAAAATGTATACAAATACAGTAAATCCCGATAACACAAACTTGAAACTGAAAACTTGAGCATTCATTAACTCGAACCATTTTTATTGTTTCTTTGGAGGTCAGAGTTATAGAGATTACTGTATAGCAAATGTTTTTGATGGAAACCTTGCCTACACTTATCACAATCTCAAAGCATACTCGTCACCCAGTTACGCGACAAAGTGCTTTTAAGACTTAAGACTAGAAGGTTAAGACTTAAAAAACAGACTGACATATGACAGCAGATGCTAACAAGAGCAATATTTTCAATTCTATCACCATAACATTTGAGCTAAACAACCTCTTGTTTCTAAATAAACAAAACAAAATTTTCTTTATAAATACTAGGAAAATAAAACTAAGTTAAATACCATATATGGTTTCTCCACCCACCCACAAAACAACGATGTTTGCCTTTGCAATTATCATCGGAAAGGTTATATCAGAACAGACACCTCCCTGTTGAGAGTTGCTGATACTAGGAGCAGAGGGGTGTTAAGGGCATTGGAGGTTCCCTATCCTTTATGTAGAGAAGAATCATGTTTTGTCGTGTACCTTGTTCTGTTGAGACTTGGGGGTATCCCCCTTTTGTCACTACCATAAGATAAGCATTCGTAATATGAATAGTTCAGGTGTGCATGTTTAATTTCACTTTAGGACAAATAATCCTGTCATCATAAGAGGCGGGAGTGCACTTTTAAATATACCAATATGGGAACAACCAATAACAAAGTTTGTTAATGTCTAATGTCTACCACTTTTCACCCCACGTACGACTTGTTGTCTTGCGTTTCCTTGGATAGCTCTTTGCTTTCTGAAAGAACACAAAATAGAGCGAAAAAGACCCTATCTCGCTTGATTATTTAATTTTGTTCTCTTGGCTGACAAAAGACAGTAGTTGAGTAACATATGAAAAGTTATTAGAATGCTACGCATTGCCCGCAACGCAGCAGCAAGAGATATCGAATTCTCTTCATTAAAAGATAACGTTCAGTTCAAATATGAGCAAGCAGCTATTTTGAAAAGCAAAAACAGAAGACAAGTCGAGGAGTAATATATCATGGCAAAATATGGTGCCCCTCCCCCAAAACGAAAACACCGTTAAGTTCATGCTTCATAGCCCGTTCCGCATAAAACTGCTTTCTAGCATGCCCTCAATGTTTGGATGAACCCATTTTGGAAAAAGACTTAAATGCTAGTCCCCATCTATAACGCAAATATCTTAGCGATAATTACTGCCCAACAACGAAGAAATAATTTGTTATTTGCTAAAACGTCCTTGTACGTATAACATATCACGAGGTCGTACCATCGTGAATACTTCGATTTGTTGTTTCACATATATACTACAATTATATACAATTATATTCTTGGCCTAATTGGAAGTTATGCTTGAACCGTAACATAAATTATTCCCAGCGTCATGAGATAAACCTTGGGTCAACCCATTAATGCATGCCACCTAACGCATCCTTGGCCATTTAGCAATCTAAAATTTAAAAGCTAGGTCCACTGAAAATGCTTCACTAAAATATCCATAGCTAGATGATACAGTTGACTTATGACAATCCATAAATATTAACATGGACGTTCTATATTCCGATTAAATAATGTAAATAATCTGATCTTACTTTAATTATATTTAATTTGTTTAAAGACACTGTCTCGTTGAACTTTGAGCATACTCGCCTGGGCAAGTTTTTCTATACAATATCAATAGGTCTTGGTCTAGGAGCCTTAAATCTTGATGATCAGTCACCAAGGGAAGCGGTGGAAATTACAATAGGTATACGAACCATTGACTCCTCGTGCTTGGAATTACAAAAAGGCATCGTTTCGTTTGTAAAACACCAAGGAGACTACTGTGTTCAGAGTTTGCGTGAAGTCGCAATATCGCGGTACCTGCACATCGAGACACAGCACCCCCCGTGCATTCCGGAAACGATACCCTTGTTTCCAGAAATATGAAACGAGGACATGTTGCACAACCACTGCTGACTGAACAATCACTTAGATACATTAGGGTGACGTCACAAACTTTCATAAATTCTAATGCTTATTCAATAGCTGCCACAAAGGTTAGGAGCTCGCTTCTGCACTGTTCAACAAGATAATAAATACTGTGTCCACAAAAAATAGAATAATATTTTACATTACATATCAACAATTTAACAAGTTTATCACCTAAGATCTAAAAAGGTAAAAATGAACTTAAATGAGTTGTGTTTTATATGTCGGGTTTATGTGTCTAGTGTTTAAACGATGACGTCATTGAGTTAAAAAATAAACAAATCAAGATATTGTAATCAATTAGGCAGAATCAATCAACGTAAAACGGATATGATTAGTGCTATAGATCCACAATAACAGTACTTATGCTGGCAAGTTTGAGGCAAATGGTATTTGAAATTTTTTAAAAAATTTCTTTTACTCGAAACAACCTAAAAAGCCTCAAGATACGTTTTGAACGCCATTTCGGGTCATTTGGTGAAATATATGCTGATCTTTTGAAAAAAAGGACTTTGTGTTTTTGAAAAAAGTAATGACCCCGGACCTGCAAAAAAGCTGAAAAATCTTGAAATTTTTCAAAGGTTTTTTTTTACTCGAAACAACCTAAAATGCTTCAAAATACGTTCTGAACGCCCTTTCGGGTTGTGTCGGTGAAAATTATGCTGATTTTTTGAAAAAAAAGGGTTGGTGATTTTTGAAAAAATTCATAACCCCCGACCAGCAAAAAAGTTGAAAAATCTTGAAATTTTTAAAAAAATTTTTTTTACTCGAAGCAACTTAAAAAGACTCAAGATATGTTCTGAACGCCATTTCGGGTCGTTTCGGTGAAATTTATGCTGATTTTTTGAAAATAAGGAGTTGGTGATTTTTGAAAAAGTCATGACCCCGGACCAACAAAAAAGTTGAAAAATCTTGAAATTTTTCAAACAAATTCTTTTACTCGAAAGAACCTAAAAAGCCTCAAGATACGTTCTGAACGCCATTTCGGGTTGTTTTGGTGAAATTTATGTTGATTTTTTGAGAATAAGGACTTTGTGATTTTTGAAAAAGTCATGACTCCAGACCTGCAAAAAAGTTGAAAAATCTTGAAATTTTTCAAAAATTTTTTTTTACTCGAAACAACCTTAAAAGCCGCAAGATACGTTCTGAACGCCATTTCAGGCCCTTTCTGTGAAATTTATGCTGATTTTTTGAAAATAAGGAGTTGGTGATTTTTGAAAAAAATTAGACCCAGGACCTGCAAAAAAGTTGAAAAATCTTGAAATTTTTCAAAAAATTTTGTTTACTCGAAACAACCTAAAAAGCTGCAAGATACGTTCTGAACGCCATTTCGGGTCTTTTCGGTGAAATTTATGCTGATTTTAGGAAAATAAGGACTTTGTGATTTTTGACAAAAGTCAGGACCCCGGACCTGCAAAAAAGTTGAAAAATCTTGAAATTTTTCAAAAATTTTTTTTTACTCGAAACAATCTAAAAAGCCTCAAGATACGTTCTGAACGCCATTTCGGGTTGTTTTGGTGAAATTTATGTTGATTTTTTGAGAATAAGGACTTTGTGATTTTTGAAAAAGTCATGACTCCAGACCTGCAAAAAAGTTGAAAAATCTTGAAATTTTTCAAAAATTTTTTTTTACTCGAAACAACCTTAAAAGCCGCAAGATACGTTCTGAACGCCATTTCAGGCCCTTTCTGTGAAATTTATGCTGATTTTTTGAAAATAAGGAGTTGGTGATTTTTGAAAAAAATTAGACCCAGGACCTGCAAAAAAGTTGAAAAATCTTGAAATTTTTCAAAAAATTTTTTCTTACTTCCAAACAACCTAAAAAGCCTGCAAGATACGTTCGAACGCCCATTCTCGGTCATTATGGGTGCAATTAGCTGTTTTAGAAATAAAGAATGGGTTGATTTTTGAAAAAATTCATGACCCCGGACCTGCAAAAAGTGAAAATCTTGAAATGTCTCCAAAAAAAATTTTTTTACTCGAAACAACCTAAAAAGCCTCAAGATCGTTCTGATCGCATTCGGGTCTTTTCGGTGAAATTTATGCTGATTTTAGGAAAATAAGGAATGGGTGATTTTTGAAAAAATTGATGACCCCAGACCTGCAAAAAAGTTGAAAATCTTGAAATTTTTCAAAAAATTTTTTTTACTCGAAACAACCTAAAAAGCCTCAAGATACGTTCTGAACGCCATTTCGGATCTTTTCGGTGAAATTTACTGATTTTTTGAAAATAAGGAGTTGGTGATTTTTGAAAAAATTCATGACCCTGGACCTGCAAAAAAGTTGAAAAATCTTGAAATTTTTGCAAAAAAATTTTTTTACTCGAAACAACCTAAAAAGCCTCAAGATACGTTCTGAACGCCATTTCGGATCTTTTCGGTGAAATTTACGCTGATTTTAGGAAAATAAGGAATTGGTGATTTTTGAAAAAATTCATGACCCCGGACCTGCAAAAAAGTTGACAAATCTTGAAATTTTTCAAAAAAATTTTTTTACTCGAAACAACCTAAAAAGCCTCAAGATACGTTCTGAACGTCATTTCGGGTCTTTTCGGTGAAATTTATGCTGATTTTAGGAAAATAAAGAATGGGTGATTTTTGAAAAAATTCATGACCCCGGACCTGCAAAAAAGTTGAAAAATCTTGAAAATTTTCAAAAATTTTTTTTTACTCGAAACAATCTAAAAAGCCTCAAGATACGTTCCGAACGCCATTTCGGGTCGTTTCGGTGAAATTTATGTTGATTTTTTGAGAATAAGGACTTTGTGATTTTTGAAAAAAGTCATGACCCCGGACCTGCAAAAGAGTTGAAAAGTCTTGAAATTTTTCAAAAAATTTTGTTTACTCGAAACAACCTAAAAAGCTGCAAGATACGTTCTGAACGCCATTTCGGGTCTTTTCGGTGAAATTTATGCTGATTTTAGGAAAATAAGGACTTTGTGATTTTTGACAAAAGTCAGGACCCCGGACCTGCAAAAAAGTTGAAAAATCTTGAAATTTTTCAAAAATTTTTTTTT